TTAGCTTTACTTATCACTATTTTAATTTCTAGGCATTAAATCATATTGGTCATCTCATGCCTCAGCAATCAGCAGGCTCAGTAATGCCATATTCACCTACTTGTGCACTTACAGTGATACAACAGGTTTAAAAATGTGATTATAACCAGTCCTCCAAGCTGGTGTGTGTAGCAAATTTGAGTGTAATCGGCCCAGCCATTAGCCCATTTGCATTAGATAGAGTGCCGTAAGATGAGCAGGTTGACTGTTGGTGCGGTAAGGGCAGATGAACCTGAAGCCAGAACCTGAGCTCTGTCCGATTGCTGTTTTTTATCAGCATGCTGTCGGTTTTCCTCATATAGAAAAGTTATTGCTGGTGCTTCTAGGCCTCTCATTGGTCAAATGAATTGACCATGTGAATGAGACAAATGAGAATCCAAAAAATTGCAGCATGCTCGCAGCCTGCTGAAAAACTGTGACCATACAATGCCCAGGTGATGCAGTCAGGATCCCTGTTCGGTCAGTTTTTTTAGCGGTAGGCTGCAAGCATGCTGCTATTTCTTGGCACCTAATTGGTCTAATTTACGTGGTCTATGTATTACACCAATGAGAGGCCAAGAATAGCCAGTAATAGCTTCCTTATATGGGTAAAACCGACAGAATGCTGATAAAAAACAGTGACTGAATAGCTAGGTCAAGGTAGGGTTTAAAAAGCAAATTAGCAAATAGGTGTCTTTATCCTTGGGATATGAAAATAACAACAACAAAACAATTTGTTCAAATACACAAAAAATTACAGTGGATTCATTGTCATATTCCTTGACCATTTTTTCTTCTAAAAATGAAGGAAAAGGGGTATTTAATATATCAATACAGCAGGTCGAGGTATAAATCATGACACGCGTCAAAAGCCACAGCAACTCTTACCTTTTTCACCGATGCAATATAACTTAGGATGCTCGTAATAAAATTCAATTTTAAATAAACGGAAAACAGGGATAATAGATATGCTAATAACTATGCTCGGTGACGGTATACGTCGTATGCGTATGCGTATTGACGGTATGCATGGTATGCATGCGGCAATTGGACCGCACCGACCGCACTAATGTTTGTCCCAATCAAGGATTTGAATAAAGAACGTGAAAAAAGATAGGCGACCACTCCTCATCCATATGACGTAATGAGATCCGCTCTACATATTCTGCTTCTCGCGGGATCACTTTACTAATAATTTTTAGGGTTTCAACTCTCATGCGACATATCAGTCCCACGCACAAGGGGGAAAAGCTCAAATTATTGAGCGCTCAAAATATTGAGCGTGTGGCGTCAGAGGCTCCCATAGGCGTAATGCTGAGGGCTCAAAAAATTGAGCCGTTTCAGGAACACGTTTTGCAAAAGCAACTCGCAACACCTAGGGAGAAATGGCAACACCCTAGGAGAATCACTAATGATGCAAAACAGATTAGGCTTTCATATTTTTCACTGCTCAAGCTTCAATGATTGGGGGAACATCAATTTATAGGTCGAAATCTTACGGCATACCAGGATGACTTAAAAACAGGCCAATATTTATGTCGAAATAAAAGTTATTTTTTGTCCATTCACGTTTTTTACTAGGGTTCTGTTGGAAAGAGCATTTTTCATACTACCCAAAATGATTGCGATTCAATTTCACATTACCCATATCGGAGAATATTTTTCATTTGGCGGCGCCGTTTGTTTATTTCGTCGCGACGTCTCCGGTCGCGTGGTTGTCGTCGTCCTTGTGTTGAGGGTAAGTTTTTATCGTTTTAGTTGTACTTAGATGTTAAAAGGTACACTGAAAAGTTTGAATATGCTGTGATTTTAAATTTGGAAACACGTAAACGTCCATCAATTCACGTTTTCCTCGATTTGCGTGCAGATAAGTAACTGTCGACGAAAGTGGCGCCATCCGATATGATGTTTTGAAGGAAGGAGACACAACATATTTACGCGAAAATTTTTGTTTTTTAGTGGTCTAAGTGCTTCAAAGAGGCTGTGAATGTTTTCTTCACACAATTTTTCATTAGTTATGATGAGGTAAAAGGTAGTTTCAGTCTTAACTTTCATATAATTGACATTAAAACATATGATAGTCCACTGCTATCAGTGATTGAGTACCTTGATATTTGGCATTTCTTATTAATTTGAATGTATTCTCCATCCATATGTCCTGATAGTAAGTGACAATACTCTGCCAATATTTTTCCATAGTTTTCACATTCATTTTCCAGTCCTTTACATAACATCACAATTTATAATAAACAAAACTCAACTCCTTCATTACTTCACAACACTGACAGCATGACAGACTGACAGTCAACTATTGTGTGAGGAAGGCCACTTTCAAGCCTCAAGGTCTAGGCCGCCAGACGCCAGTCGGCAGTCACCACCAAATTTATAATCAATTAATTCATTATTATACTTTGAGACCCTCAGGTCACTGGATCAGCATCACATTTTCAGTTTCAATATAGTAAAGGTTTTATTTGTATGATGTGAAATATTTTCCTGAATCAGAATTTAATTATCCCTAGGTACCTGGTAGAGGTTTTGGATTTAATGCTCATTGTTGGTGTGCAGTCAGGATTTTTTGACAGATCCAGATAGGGAATCCTGAGCAATTTTATAGTAAAGTGGTCTCCTTATAATCACCACACATTTTATCAAAAGCATTTGCAGAATTCATTCAATGAAGAATTTTATCAATGTTGCACCCATTTCTTAGACGACCTAGGCTGCATCTTTTTTTTAGTTCCTGTTGTATGACATATTTTCCGTTTTGTTCCACTGCATAAAGAAAAAAATCGTTTGAGATCACCAAACAGCTTTTCTTTTTCTGGCAGGTCTGCACAACCAAGCGGTCGCTGGCGAGGACGTCGGCCGTCTCTGTGGGTAAGGTCATCTGTTCAGCCTTTGTGGAGATCAGCAAGACGTCACTAAGATGAAGACTTCGCTGGAGCAGAAGCCGCTGACCCGTGTCCGATCGGGCAGGTCATGCTCGACGGCACGAGCCACAACTCGGACGACTCGGTGACATCAACAACATGGTGGAGCAGGTGAATGAGTTTGGTGACGTGTTGTGCGACTGCAAGAAGGGTTGTCTGCGTGTTCTGGCCGGCGGAGCGGCGACGCTGCGCAGTCTGTGCTGGCGGTGAGCAGCTGGCCGTGGTGACCGCGCGCGCCCACATGCGCCGACAACCTGTGCGGCTTCGACGGCCCGGGACAGCCCGATGCCGCCCACTATGCGACGCCGACCGCGCACTGTCCGCACGGCTACATGGAGGTGTGCCCGCGCCTTTTGCCCGCACGCCGCTACCTCGCAGCTGGTCTGCAACCACGCCGTCGCCGCCTGTAGCCCGATAACAAAACGGCTGTCTGATAATGCCGCGTGTTCTTTGTGATGTTGCTACTGTGATCGTTGCTACTGCTGGTCTGAGACTCGATGTTTCCATTCGTCTTTTACATGTTAAGGATTTGATAATGATAAGCTTAGTCCGAGCTTAGGTCGTTTATATCATTTGTTATATGGCATATTTTGGATCAAAGCAGTACGACACTGCCTCCTGCTTTTGTGATGTATGCTGGCAAGACGCAGGTTCCGGTCGCAGGTCACCCGGACCCGGTTCCAATGTGGTCGGGCTGGCATGCGATAATGTGATGTTGTTTTGCTCGTCTCTGTGTTCCACACTTGATGATGTTTGTGAATCTAACCCACATTGTATAGTATTTTTGTTTGTTTGCGGCCGATGGCCTTGTAATTGTAACCGTGGCAATACAGTTTTTCCTGCTATAATTCTCCAATATTCAAGGGTGGGTGGATATCTCTGTATTCACGTATTCCCTTCTCCCAGTACAGTCAGAGAATATCAATTACAGTATTCATACGGATTATTCAAGCCTTATATAATTATTTGAGGTGTGCCGAATCCGAAAGACCGATAAAACTACTAGCGGAAAATGTGACATGATGCCATGGGTTTGTGAAAAGTTTAGGTACCACGTAGCATTCAACTTCCTGCATTTCTGTTTCAACTCAGTTTAACGTATTTCAACGAACATAACATCAAAAATGGCAGCCAGTACCGGCTTCACCTGTCACGGAGAACACTCAAAAAATTGAGTGTAGATGCTGGCCGGCACTCAATTTTTTGAGCGCCAGCTGACTGTCGTCTGTCGTGGCGCTCAATTTATTGAGTATCGCGGTCCCGAACGACAAGTGGCGCTCAAAAAGTTGAGCGTCTTTAGGGCATTTTCTTTCCAAAAACACCGATATAAATTATCACGGCGAGTGTTCGAGAAGAAACCTTGTTGCTCTCTCTTGCCATTGATACCTTATTTGGATACGATATTTGCCGTAGTGTGACGCTAGAGGCATTGTAAAATACCATCGTTTCGCCTATTCCTTCATAATGGGGCCCGCTCAATTTTTTGAGCGCTCAATTTTTTGAGCTTTTCCCCCTTGTGCGTGGGACTGATATTTACTTGACAAGGGAAAATCCCACAATATTTACCCGGATCATGCTTGAATTGTCGTAAGTTTTCAAATCGATCTTTTGCCCGTCACCCTCCTTCGGGCGAACTGGTTGAGTCAGCGGACTCCTCCCCAGTCTCCACCCCTCCCACACAAAACGCACGGCTAAATCCAGGGATCCTTCCAGAGACAGACAGGAACCACAGATGTCAGACACGTGCATAAACCCATGACTCAGCGCCACCTAAGGGCACATTCCGAGCGCGAGAATGCAAAAGCTCAGCATATGCCGGACAATGGCCACTGGAAAGTCGCCAGCATCTCACAACAATTAGGTAACTGCCCACAGAAACGCCAAGTAAGCTGAGAGCAATTACGTCTACGAATTGACTGTAGAGCGTCAATGTAAAGAAAATGGAGGGCACAACGATCGGCCGTACAGTTGAGCGACCGCCCCAGCCGGTTCAACGGATGGTCGGCAGGTCACCTTGACGGCGCCCGTCGCTTCGAACAATACCGCAGATAAACAGATGAGCACATATTATATTACAGATATCAACAATCAAAATTGGCCGGATCGGGCAACCCGAGAGCGACCTCAGCCATTGTGAGGCACAGTCCGATTCCCAATGTCAAAAAGTCAGCACGGGTTGAATGAATTATAGGTTGAAACAAATGATCTGTCGAATGATACGCGTGATAAAAAAGAACACATCGCAGCAAACTTGTTATTAAATTACAACACAGCCGCCATACAACTGACATGCTACCATTATTGTACTGAGCAGGAGACCGTCTGAGATGAGCTCGATCTGGTGCAGCTTGGGCAACTGGCTCGGGCCCATCACCTCATACGACGCTTGACTAGCTACCCGTCGGACAACTAAGACCGTCAGACAGCGTCAGTCGGCTGTCGGACAGCGTCAGTCGGCTGTCGGACACCACAAGCTCGCTGTCAGACATGAGACAGGGGCCAGGGCTGGGCGGCGTCCAGACAGCGTCAGTCGACACGTCCAGTTTATGCAGCTCGACACGCGTGTCCATGGCCAGTTTGGCGTCCTCCGTGTTCTCCAGCAAGGACATAGTGTCCTCATCACCGTCCACATCAGCGGAGTCTGGCTCCGACTTCACCCTGGCCACCGGATCGGCCTGCGGTCCAGCCCACTCCTCCGTCTCTGGCGTCGCCAGTTTCTGCTTCTTGGCCTCGGAGGCCCCCGGGGGCGGTCGGCCGGAGGTGTGACACCTCCGGCGGGGGCCGGGCCGCCGCCGGGGCTCCACCGAGCGCGGCACCTTGAGGCTCCGGTGCAGAGCCAGGTGGCGCTGTAGAGTGTCTGAGCCGCCGGCCAGCTGGAGCCGGCACACGGGGCAGGCGCGCAGCGCGGGCGGCGGCTGCGCGCGGTGCTCCGTGCACACGTGCCGCTCGGCCTCCGACCAGCTGTCCGTGCTGAACTCGGGGCACAGCGCGCAGCCCAGCAGGCGACACCGCTCCGGGTGCTTCGCAATCACGTGCTGACGGCAAGTGATGAAGAAACCGCGAAACTCGCACAGCTGACATCGAGACATAGGGCCCATCGAGCCACAATCGTGCAGGTTCAGATGCCCCGCCACTTCATCGGCATTGAGCAGTTCGAGCTCGCACGGCACGCACGTGTAAATGTCACGGACCGTAGACGAGCGACACTTGACCGTATGCAAGATGCCGGTATCGGAGACGATGCTATCGCGTTCACAGTCATGACAGCGCAGCACTGCCGGCACCGAGAGCGGCTGCAGCTCGTGGACTTTCCATGCGTGGCGCTCACTCTGCGCCAACATGGCCGACACCTTGGGACACAGGCCGCACACCACCAGCGACTCGGGCTTGCACACGGCAGTGTCCGGGAACAGCAGGTTGGTCTCGGCGTGCAGACTCGCCATGTGCTCGTGCAGCCTCAGCCAGCTGGTGAAGCCGCTGGCGCTGCACAGGTAGCAGCGCACCAGACGCACACACCGCTTCCGGTCCAGCCACTGCGAAGCGTCTGCGGTGTGCGAGGCCGAGGGGGAGGGCGAACGACCGGACTGGCGGACCGGAATGATCGAGAAGTCACTGCCGCCGTCGGGCGCCACCTGGTGCGGGCCACTGCCGCCGCTGTCCCCATCCGATCGATCCTGCGAACACAGCAGACAGCACCGGTCAGACGGACATAGCACCATACGCGACGAAACGCCAGGCACTGGGCCCAGTTCATAGAGAGTCCCTTTGCTGCTAAGGGATACTTATTGGAAAGAGGGACCCGACAGAATGATGGGTTCATATAGCCACCCTTACATACCGGCGCCAATGTTACCAAAAGTGTCCCTTTGAAAAGTGGCACTTTGGAAAAGTGACACTTGCCAACTGGCTTTTCTATATGAACTGAGCCCTGCAGCCAGAGAGACAGCAGCCGCAGCAGCACTCCACAGCCCAGAGCGGGCTGAGGAACACAACCGCAGAGGGCAGCGCCGTACCTTTACATCTAGTCTTCCCGGCCTGGCAAGCAGCACCACACAGTTACGCTTTGCGGGCTAGTCTTTTCTGGCCAGCGGGGCAGTACTGAATCTGGGCGGGAAGCGCGGCAGCACCCTATCTGTGCGCGGTAGCCCTCGCTCTGCCAGGCAGTCAGGCACAGCACCGTACCTTTACGGGCCGTCCCTCGTCAGCCAGCGGGGTAATGGAGAGGCCGGCCGGCAGACTGAACCCTTTCACGTCTTCCTGCGCCGCCGGCTGCGGGCTGACGCGCCCGTTCCGCTCCTCTCCCGGCCGGCCGGGGCCCGACGGCGTCGCTGGCGGCGACTCTGGCGATTCTTGTCCCAGCAACGGTATGTTTAGTTTCCTGTATCAGGACCGGCAGAAACCACAGCATTACACATACGCAGCGCACACAAGTGAGACGGTACGACCGCAGCACTGCACTGATCAAGTGGCCAGCAAATCGGCAGTTAGTAAACTTGAACATCAGCTGCTGCAGTTCTAACTCCCAAACTGTTTGTGATAAATTTGTACGTCATGATACAATATGCGAATGACTTGATACGCAGGTACATTGTCACTGTACAATAACAACTCTTTAACACACGCAGTGGAAGGGATGGGGAGGGGGCGGATTTCGCCCCACCCCTCCTTTTTTGTAAATATCTCACGCCGTAATCATTCTATTAACGTTAAATTTTTAGTATCTGACTAAAATTGAATTGCGCATCTTGCCGTGAAAGCAATTAGTAAATCGGTCTTTTTTAGTAGGTAACAGGGGTGTAAAGCCAAAAATTTCGCCGGAGCGGCGGCCGGCGCCGGCCGATTCCCGCTGCCGGCACCGGACGGTTCCGTCTTTGCGTTGCACTGCTTACCGCTGCTAATGATCGATTCGCATCAAGATCTCTGTGAAGATTTAGAAATGTACAGGCAATCTTATGGTGAAATAAATACGGAAATCAGCCGGTAACATTTTGAGTTACGAGTGTGTAAGCATAACATTGTGACTGCAACGTTTCCAGCGTCGGCTGTTCCCCACCTCAACCGGAAGACATCTTACTCTTAGCAGAGTTCTATTGCCATTATTACGGCTGAATTAACTAGGCGGTAACTTTTGAGGTATTGGCGTGTAAACACAAAATAGACCCTCACCTGGCAAATTCAGCCCTGTTTGACCTCATTTGACCTTGAAGATATTGAGCAAGTATCATGAAATTAGTTTCCCATCGTCCCCACCCACTCTCCAAATTTCGTCTTTTTGGCTTCCATAAGAGGCTGAGATCTTCGGGGGGGAGAGGGGAGGGCAACATTCACTCCCCCCACCCTCCACTGGGCGTAGTTCTCGGAACTCTTCCACTGCGCGTGTTAACAGTTTGTAGCTTTAAAGATAGGATTAACGAATCGACAAATGAACAAGTAATAATGGACAAATTAGGTACAACAGCTGGACGTGTATGCATGATTGCGGGCCGAGGATCTAGCTAGCAGCGCACCTCCCAGACCCCCGGACGCCGCTGTGGCCGCCTCCACTCACTCAGTGAAGACAAAGTGGCTGATGAGGCCGGACAGCGTCTCGCGCGCACTGCTGGAGCGCATCGCCAAGTCGGCCGCCTTCCAGCCGGCCAGCAGCGGCCCGGCCAGCATGGTCTCGAGCGCGGCGGCGAGCTGTCGGTCGGCCGACAGGCCGCCCGGCTGCCTCGGCTCCCGGCACGCGCGCACCGCGCGCCGCGCTGCGTCCAGAGCCGGCGATCTGTCCGGCAACTTCACGCGACGGACCGCCTTCCGGGAGGCCTTGTCCGCGGCCGACGAGTTCGCAGGAACCACACGATCCGCAGGAGACCGGACTGACGACGGGCCCGCGAGATGGGCCGCCTTCAGGGCAGACCTGTCCGGCAGCGGGACAGACACAGGGTCAGAACTCTGACATACGAACGTGACAGCAGCAATGGCGAACAGAGGCGGGACGTGGGAGCCCGAAGCCGACCGAGCGGAGAAACGCTAATACAGTCAGAGAGAAACGCCCATATTATGCACACAATAAACCAGAGTATCGCATCTCTCAGAAGCACAGGATCTTTTTATGAAAGGAGTTAGAATTAACAGTTACACATAATCATAGCCCAGCTGTCAGCTGGTATGAAATGACCACCCAATTTATATTTCAAAATGTCGTGTAGATATATGTCAAACCACACTGGAAATCTTATAACGTTATTTGAGCGAAACCACGAGACAGAAAAAAACACGCAAAAGCCACGCCTACCATAAATGTGCCGCATGGCGCATAATACCGTCTATGGGCAGCGCGCATGGCCACGAGGATCATAACAAGACTGATACAGTGCATTGGCTGCTCCCCGTGCCTAGGCCTACCCACCTGCTGTCCGAAGAGCTCGGTCTGTTGGCGTTTGACAGGCCGCCTGACGCGGGGACGGCCGTCCTCCGCAGCGGCTGTGGTTTGGAACTCTCCGGAGGCCGAGGCCGTAGGGGAGGAGGGTGCTGCCGAGCCGGTGGCGGCGGAAGAGGAGACGGTCTCAGAGGCTTCAGTTTTGTCTGTCGCTGCTGCTGCTGCTGCTGTTGCTGCTGCTGCTGTTGCCGCTGCTGCTGTTGCCGCTGCTGCTGTTGCCGCTCACGGGCCTGCATCGAGAGCAGCATGAGGTCGGCCTCGCTGCGCGGCTCGCCGCCGGAGCCGAGGCTGATTCCCGGCGGGGTGGGGATCCGCGGCGGCGGGGAGCCGGAGCCGGCGGCCGTCGACACCGTCAGTTCGCTGAGCGGCTTCAGGCGGATCACCGAGGGACCAGCGGCTGCCGCCTCGTCCGGCTCCTCCAGTTTCACGAGCGGCTGCAGCGGCAGCTCGTACTCCTCGTCCGAGGGCTCTTCTTTGACTGCCGGTGCCGGATCGGGCGCCGAGTCGGCCGGACCGCCGTCGCCTGTCTCCGGACCACCGTCCGCCGTCTCCGGCGGAGACTCGCTGCCCGGCGGCTCGCCGACGGACTCTGAGCCGTTCTCGGCCAGATCGACCACCTCCGTCTTGATGCGCTCGGCCAGCTCGGTGCACGGTAGGCCGAACGCCACGTCCGTTACCTGCACGTCGTCGTCCTCGGTTTTCTGCGACTCGGACTGCACGCTGGTGATGGTCAGAGCCTGGATGGCAGTGTCCGGGCGGCGAGCCTGGCGCTCGTAGTTGCTAGTCAGAACTAGCGGCTGATGAGGCAGCTGCGGACGAGGCGCCAGCGCCCGCCGCTGCTGCTGCGGCTGGGCGGCCGGCACGGGCCGGCTGCTGGAGTTCACCATGACCATCGGCACGCGGGGCGCCAGAGTGCTGACTTGCGTCGCGGCCGGCTGGCTGGGCGGCATCAGCAGCAGCTGGCCGCCGCTGGCCGGCACCAGCTGGACGGCCGAGCCGCCGCCACCGCCCGCCCTGCTGGTGGCCACCAGCTGGAGCACACTTCCAGGACCGCTGCCAACGCTGGCACCGCCGCCAGCCGACACCACGTGGAACGAGGCGGGCGCCGGCGCCAGGGCCGGCTGTGCCGCCTGCAAGATCCGGAACTGCTGCTGCACCGGCGCCGGCACCAGCTGCCTAATGACGGCCGGAGCAGCCGGCACCGCAGTGCATGTCACCGGCCTCAGCTGGACGGGCCGCACCGCAGGCCGCGGCGGCAGCGGCGCCGCCGGAGCGATCGCCTTGTACCGCACCGGCGAGAGGGCGGCCAGCGGAGCCGTGGGCGCCAGCGGTGCGTCCTTGCGCCGTGAGTAGGTCCGCACATTGGTGCTGCCGTCCTCTCGCACCAGTTCTGTGGGGATCGGCATCAGCCGCTTCAGGCGCGCCGGCAATTCCCGGTCCGGGACAGGAAACTCGTCGTCCAGTTTCGAGAAGTGACGCGGACACACAATGACCCGCAAGGCCGAGCTGGCTGTCATATGGAAATTGACGCGACCAAATAGGGCTGTCCACCAGCGCACGCGGTCCTGCACCCGCGAGATGGGCGGGAATCGGACCACCTCAGACTGATCCACAATTTTGGAGCATTGAATAATGTCACACACAGACAAAGTCATTGTGCCAACTGCCAGATGTTCCTGAAAAAGTGAAAATACTGTCAGAGGAAGAGAAGGATCACATCCTATTATTTGGTTAGTCAGTGGAAGCTTGTTTTCCACTATGGTCACCAGTCAAATCAACTACAAAAAGACTAAATCTGACCACTATTACTAACCTATGCAAATATGAAAATGAAAGATATTTTCTTAGTATATAGGTAAATACAAGAAAATTATATCCAGCTAGTCTAAGTAACTGTGAAATACAAATGTGTATGAAAATAGCTGTTGTTTAACATGAAGACCAGTTAGACACAGCAAAGGGAAGGCTCAAGCTGCCTGGTGGATTGCATAGGTCATTGCTTGCAGGAACAAGAATGTCCTGCAAAGTGGAAACACAAAACAACGGTACAAAAACTGAACTGCTGAAAAGGTCAGAAGAAAATATGGCATAACTTTCATTGGCAATTTGAATATGGGTTGGTTTCCTTCACTCCTAAAAATCTGAAACTCAGTCACACTCATGACACTGAGGTGGGAGGATGTCAGTTGGATGAACACATTTTCAAGCTACCACTGGCACCAACCATGAATTTATTTTTATGCTCAAATGATCACTGAGTAAATAGTAATGTTAACTTGATGTTTTTATTGCCTAATCAATCATATCTGAGCATCACAGATAACAAACACCCTCCTGCATTAAAACTCTCTGATATTCTTCCATTTGCCATTCAAATTGAGCGAGACAATGGCTAGGATAGATGAAAATCGCTGCAATTGCTTGTACACAAACAGTGCTTCTAGAATCATTCTATGCTTGGAAATAGCAAAGTATCATTAACAAATCATCATAAGACATTAACACTATGCAGAATGCAGATGCCTGCAAAAAGGGTCCAGCAAAACCTTAAAAGTTCAAGCCATTTTATGGCATTGCTGCCCCTGAGCTCTGAAAGGCAAGAAAGAGACAAGCATTAAGCCCAGGCTCCATTACACTATTTTTCCATGCCATTTGGCAATATTACAATGTCACATTGCAAAAAGTTCATAATTTTAAAATTTAAAGCTTTTTATTGATATTGCGTAAATGACATTGTGTGAACAATATTGCGTGATGTGCTTACCTTACCTTACCTTCACAGTGATCGGGAGGGAAAAGGCCACTTGGCCTGGAGATCCCGTTCTCATCGAGCTCTAGGACTAGGACAGTCTGGGCTCTTATGGGTATGGAATGTCATACTTCAGGCTTTTCCAGTGTTCGTCCAGCCTGGCCTTGAACTGATTGACGCTGGTGGCAGACACTACAGAAGCTGGCAGAGAGTTCCAGTCATTCACGACTCTTGTGCTGAAGGTGTTCCTCCTCGTGAGCGTTCTTGCGTTCGGTTTCTGCAGCTTCCACTGATGTCCCCTTGTGCGGTCGGAGCTGTGTCTGGTCGGAAGCGCTTCAGGATCCACTGACATGCCACCATGGAACAGCTGAAACACTGTCACCATGTCCCCTCGGCGACGACGATAGTACAGCGACGGTATGTCGAGACGGCGCAGACGCTCGGTGTATGGGAGATGTCTGATGGTGTCAACCATGCGAGTCGCTCGACGTTGTACCCGCTCCAACCGTTTCTGGTTGACTCTGCCAAATGGCCCCCATGCAATGTTGCCGTACTCGAGGAACGGTCTCACCACAGACTTGTACAGCAGAGGCAGCGTGATCACGTCGAGGGTAGCAAATGAGCGCCTCACAACAGCCAACATCTGGGTCGCTTTTGCAATGGCAGCAGCAGTTTGTTGGTGGAACTTCAGGTTCTCGTCGATAATGATGCCCAGATCCCTCTCTTCGCTCACGCTCTCAATCGCGGCGTTATCCAGTAAGTATGTGTGCTCAGGATTCAGACCTCCGACATGCATCACTTTGCACTTCGACACATTGAAGGGCAACAGCCACTTCTTCGACCAGTTGACCAGAGCGTTGATGTCAGCTTGAAGGCCGGCAGGGTCACCTGTCACACGACGGTAGAGTTTTGTGTCGTCTGCAAACAGCTTGACACAGCTCGACACTTGCTGGGGCATGTCATTGACGAAAATCGTGAAGAGGGCGGGACCAAGGACAGATCCCTGGGGGATACCGCTGGTGACGGGGACCCAGTTAGACCTCGATCCCTGCAGCACAACCCTCTGAGTACGACCAACAAGGAAAGCCTCAATCCAACTCAGCAGCTTCCCCCCGACTCCATAGGCGCGCAGCTTACTGAGGAGTCGCTGATGCGGCACCGAGTCGAAGGCTTTGGCGAAGTCGAGGTATACGACATCAACTGGGTCACCATCTTCCAATGCAGCACTCCAATCTTCCATCACCTCCAGTAGCTGACTGGAACATGATCTCCTCGGGAGAAATCCGTGCTGAGCCGCATGCAGCAGGCCACTGTCCGTGAAGTGTTGAAGAAGATGGTCGCGAATGATGGACTCGAGCACCTTTGACGGAATGGAGGTAAGGCTCACTGGTCGGTAGCTCGCGGGGTTTCTGCGGTCGCCTTTCTTGTATATGGGGACTACTTCGCCAATCTTCCAATCAGAGGGGAGACTTCCTGCTTCCAGTGATTTTGCAAATAGCAAACTCAAGGGTACGGACAGGGGGCCTGCAGACTCGCGGAACACTCGGGGATGAATAGCATCCGGCCCTGGCGAGCTAGTTGGCTTCAAGACCGCCAGCTTAGCCTCAACTTTCTGTGGCGATACATCCACGTCAACCAGTGGGGGTCCCTGGAAGTTGCATGGCAGAGCTGGGGGAGGCTCAGCTCCCTCTGAGGTGTAGACGCTGGAGAAGAACCTGCTTAGTACTTCAGCTTTTGCTCGGTTGCTGGACACAAGCTCACCGTTGTCATCCATCAGGTCTTCAACACGGCACCTAGTACGCAGCCTAGAGTTGGCGTACCTCCAAAATGCTTTGGGGTTCTGTCTGAGGTTCGATGCCAGCTTTGACTCGTGGTCCCTTCGAAGTTTTCTCGTCAGGCCCCTAAGCTGATTTCTGCACCTCACAAACCGGGCATGATCCACGTTGTCGAGAGTTTGACGGTAGACGCCCCACAGCACCTGCTTCCTCTTTCTCAGCTGCATCGCCGCCCGATTCATGTAGAGGTTCTTCCTGGAGTGGGCGCTTCTCTTGACCGAACAGTCTTCAACGTCTCCGGTGATTTGCGACTTGAACGATTCGTATGCTTCTTCCAGGTCCAAGTTTCTGATATCATCCCAGTTTCGTGACCTCAGGACACCTGCAAGGCGCTCGTAGTTGATGTGTAGAATCGGTGGGCGGTGTGAGGTACACACATCCGCATAGCAAACAACAGTAAATTTCAGGACAACATGATCGCTTCTGGCGAGTCCAGGAAGGTGCTCGAGATTACGAATCATGCCTTCTTCGTTGGTTAACACCAGGTCCAGTACATTTGGAGTTTCACCCAATCGAAATCTAGTAGGAGAGCGGACGTGCTGGAAAAGGAAGCAGTCATGTATCGTGTCGAGAAAAGTTTGAGAAAGATGGGTGTCAGGTGCGTTGGATGCTTCAGTTTCCCAATTGATCTGGGGAAAGTTGAAATCTCCTACAATCACCAGATGCGAGTAGGACATCGAACTTGCCTGTCGAATGAGCTGACCCAGGTGAGTGGCATGCTCTTCATCAGATCTTGACGGACTGCGGTAAACACATCCCAGCAGCAGACAGTCACTCCCAATCAGTGACAGTCTAAGCCACACATGTTCCACTGACGATGAGCTGAGAGAGACTTCTGACACCCTGAGATAATCAGCTGCGTAGATGCATACTCCTCTTATGCCGCTGCATCCAAGATTAGGAGATGATAGCGAGAAATTGGTGTAGAGTGTGTACCCAGGTATGTTGAGGAGAGCGGGGGCTATGGGAACTTTTTGGGCCTTGGGAATTGTCTCTGTTACCATAATCAGATCAGGCTCGTCATTACAGATGAGCATGCACATGTCATCCCGCTTACTCACGAACTGGTCAGCATTTGTGTATAACACACACAGACTCCTGGGCTTGTGGCTAGCTGGAGGCTGACCTAGTCACTTCTGCGCAGCAGGGGCAGAACTGGCCTGTGTTGGGGTGGTGAGTGGTCGTTGCACAGCCTGTGCCCCGCCGTCACCACCGGGGACAGCTGGGGCGCGTGTAGATTCTCTACTTTGAGCCTCTCCATTAGATGTTGCCTGTGCTTGTGCCCCACTGCCACTAGAGAGGACAGCAGGAGCCCTACTGCCTCCCTCCACCACGACAGTGGGTGGTACCTGTACAATTTTCCCCCCTCTGATTGTCAAGTTGGCTTCACCAGCCTTTCTGCGAGCTGCCATTTCTGCTCTCAACTTTTTGCCAGTCTCCCTTTCTTTCTGGGTGAGGTCTGGGGTGATATATATGTTCCCATACTGTTCGGAATGTCGGAGTTGGGGGGCCCCTTTCAGGATGTCATGTTTGCAAGCAGCATTTTCAAGAGTAACTATCAGTAGCCTTGGCTTGCCCTCATACTTCTTACCAACTCTGAATGACTTTGATGCTGGAGCATGGATCTTCATGACATCTTTCAGAATGGTGGTGAAGAGGGCCATGTCTTTAGCCGACCTTTCGCCCACTGTGCTGCCGTCCTGTTCAGGGAGATTGTGTATTACAACATTTGCTTTGCGTCGCTCCTTGTCCAAGTGGTCATCCAGCACCTTTGACAGCTCCTGCACATTTTTCCTGTCGCTAACCTCATTTGCTTTGGGGAGCATGGCTAGCTGAGATTTCACCACATTCGCAATCTCGCTACATGTGCCCTTAACAGTGTCAGCGTACGAAGCTTTGTGTTGCATGACTGACTGTTCGACAACTTTGACTTGTTCTTTGGCCTTTTTTGCATACTCCTGCAGGGACTTTTCCACCTGGTGAGCATGTTCCTTCATGGTTTGCTCCTGAACCTGGACTGAGCTGTCGACCGCTTCCATGTGCCTGATAATCATCTTTTCAAGCTGTCCGATCTTACTTTCAAGGGCAGCCAACATTGGGGGACGATCCTTCCTACTTTTCAGGTCCGACTTACACTTTGAGCACAGCCATGCAAGAGTGTCAAATCTCTCAAGGGCCCTAAGTGCTGCCTTCTGTATTCCCTGGCAGGCACCGTGAAACCAATCATGGCACCTGTCGCATTGGACTCCTGTTTCACCGTCCTTGACTGGGTTACCACAAACTTTGTTAGGGCCCCCTTTGCACACTGCCCCCTCGCTGCCAGTATCGCTGGATGAGCGAGAGAGGGAACTAACTGATTCCTGGCCAAATAACTTGTAAATGCTTTCATCAAGCTTACCGACTGGTTTGCTGGTGGCCTGATCCATACCTGCACGTTTTTCTGTACCTTCCCCGTCTCGCCCGTCTCCACCACTTGCGAAGTCCGTGGCGTCGTTCCCCGCGTCGGGGATCAGGTTTCGTGGCGAATCTGGCGCGCGATTCTGCTCCGATTTGTCGTCTCGAAGAGATGCAGAAGGTCGACGCGGTAACACCGGTGAATGTTCGAGAGGCATTTCAAATTCTCATTTAAATTCACCAGAGACCATTTACTGTGTAGACCGATGAAGAAAATTTGCTTCGGAAAATTTGAAAAGCGACCGTTGGAGTTCGCGTCAACAGCTGAGTCACAGCAACAGCTGACGAAGGAACAGGGCAGGAGCTCGATGCGACACGTCCGATCCCCACGAACTCCCGACACCGATCCGACAGTGCTTGCACAATATCACTCATGAAATATCGCAAAGAAGTTCAGAATTCTGAACTTTTGGAGAAGCATCATCATAAAATTGCACAGGAAAATTGCATAGTGGTGCAGAGCCTGGGCTTGGGACCATATCGAAGGCTTTACTGAAATCAAGGAAAGACAGCAAAAGAGACATCTCAATCTTGATCTAGCTTGAGCTGCTCACCCTGAGGCCTGATCCAATGTGTCGTTTTTCAAGAAATTTCAAAAGATAAGTGAGACATGGGGCACTTCCATATATCAACGCTCTCTCACTCTATAAAGACTGGACAGACATAGTCCACAGTCTTTATAGAGAACTCTACAAACTAACGGTACATGCCGTACATGCGCAAGGATGCAGTTCTCTAGGTTCTCTATATATCAACTATCACCGTGGTGAATGCGGTGTCGTGCGGCGAGAGTGAGACGGATAACTCCGTGCGGTGTATATCGAAATTTTCAAAAACTTTTATAAGGCATCAAGGACACAGCAAAGCAACTGACTGATTTTTAGGCGCCAGATCGCGAGTAGCATAAATGACGTCACAGGCTCCGCACCTATATCAATGTGTGTAAATAAACGGAAACCAGGTCGGTATGTGATTCAATTCACAATTCACATGCGATAATTTTCGTTCAAAGGAACGCCATAAATCACAAATTACTTCAGCCCGGTTATTTAGGAGAGGTCGAGGGTTGAGTCCCCAAACTTCGTCGTAGGTCTAATTCAGCACATTTCAACTTTTTTTTTTTACAAATCGGCGCATAACACGAGTCGCGAAAACGGAGAGAGCTGCTGCAGGCTGCAGCAAGATTAGTTTACTACTCGGCCTCGGCTGCAGTGCCGCGGTGAAAGCAGTAAGCACTTCCGTTTTTTTTTTTATTTAGATATTTGCATGAAACGGCATGGACGTAGGGCTAGAAGTAAAACCCGAGTATAAAGACAACCAAGGGTCTATATACTAGCAGGGCGCAGATCGAACAAACGCCGCAGAAAGTGGAAGCATGGATTACCTACTACCTGGATCGGCAACTCCGCGGAATTCCCATTGTATTGCGCGACCGCCCGAAAGTGCTGCCACCTATCGAGCAGACTGATCCCTGCTAAGGACAGCCCGCCGCCGCCGCCCAGTCAGACAGCGGCCGATACCAGCAAAGTCCGAAAATGACCGGCAAGTTACATGGCCTGAACCAGCCGCGGCTAAGTTTGGCATAGGCCAACAGTGTCGGGTTCCGGAAGAGCGGTCCAGGGCGGTTCCATAGACTATGTATCGTTTTGGAAAGAATGGTGTGGTCAGTGGTGGGTCGTTTACCGAGCGCGACTGGCCGATTTTACCTCAGCACGTCGTATTGTTAGCTCTCATGGCCAGGCCAGGCGCTTTCTGCCAGCTGCCTGAAAATACCTTCGATCAAACGACTTTGTCTATCACTCGGATTGCCCCTGATCAGCTTGAGCATTCCAACTCAGTCGTCGGTAGACCGCAGAGGAAATGTGCCGTCCGCCGTGAAACATCCAAATCATTGCTACAGCCATTTTGACTGACTTATAAAGATCAAGACAAATGCTGTCATATCGATTAACGAACATCTGCACCACTGACAATTTCTATCAAGAAGCATTCCAGGATTATAAGCTTACCATACACCGTTTCGTTAAAAAACTGTTTCCATATTAAACTTATGTTTGCCGTCGCATGAGCGAATTGCCTACTGAGTACAGGCTGAAACCGATTCTTTCCGCAGTCAGAAATCATGTGCGAGACCGAGAGTCTATTCAAATAAACCCCGGTCGCACTCTCATCCATAACACGCACCTCCTTGCGTGCGATTGATGCTATTGCAACTGATTGATTGATTGCGTGCGATTGATTGATTTGAATAGGCTCTCTTGTGCGATTTCCTGACTGTGGAAATAGTCTGTCTCGGCCTGAAGTTCAGAATTTAACACAGGTTCAATGACAACTAAGGTGAAAGATGACACACAATGTATACAATGCATATTATTGCATAGACTGATAGGTAGATTTCGAGAAACGACGTGCCACATGCCTACTAAACGGTGTCGTAGCACCAAGTTGGTTTCCAATTCACACCTCCCACCAGAGTATATCGGGAATAAATGCAAACACGATGCACACGAACGCATTATCCGCTCAATGGGTATGCCCGTAGTGGGTATGTTAGTCAGTTACAAACGCTGTGATACCTTAAACATTTTCGGTCGAGCCAGTTCACAGTTCACACCCCGGCCGCCTGCTGCCGTCACGTCACACGTGTCTGCAGTGGGCGTGCACCTGCCTGCGTGTGCGTGCATCATAATTCACATCACAAATCACAGGATGCCAATTCAAGTCAGCACACCGTGGAAACTGAACCCATCTCTTTGATCTGAAACAAAGAGTGAGAGAGGGAAATTAGATACCTGAGCATACCGTAATGAAATGGAGAGTGAGGGCATTCCAAGGCAAACTGTTTCCCCACAACATCACAAAAAGTATTTTACATTGCGATGATGTTGGCAAAAAAATAAAATAAATAATACCTTGACAAGATACTCCCAAACAAAAGTACCCAAAAGCTTAACACCTTATCTGCTAGGCTTACATAGTTTAAAATGGCTTTATCTTACTTAAATCTATCTGCTATCTACACACAGTTTGGCTAGCACTCGTTCTAAAAAAAGGTGATTGTTATATATCATTCAATAGAGGGAAACTCACAAACTTCTTCGTACTACTCTGGACCTTTTGGCTTTGAGAAAAGAAGGAAGCTGATGTCAGGGACCAGGGTCGGCACTCTTTTGTCATTTGTGGTTGACAATGACACACAAGCTTGAGACATGATGTGTCAAACATATAACAAACATATAACAAACATAAAATTAAACATATAAATAAGTGATTAAACATTCCAATTACGGAAATTATACGATTTTTAACGACATACGGCGAGAAGCAATGTGCGCAAGTATCGTCAACAGCCGCTCTTTACAGTAATATTTTAGGCCACTCAGACCCTCCAACCACAAAAAAAAACTTACCAATCTTACCTTGCCATCTTCCTCCATCTTCTGAAACCTTCCAATCTGCTCCAAAGGGGCTTAAATTTTCAAAAAACAAGGCAAACGATCCTACAACGCGACGCCGACCATTGTTTTGAATAGCACCCGCTCCCCCGCGTCCTTAGCGCTCGACACCACTGCCACCTAGCGGTGGTCACAAACATCGAGGAGTTGCCGATCCAGGTTCTACTTCATCCATGGTGGAAGCATGTAGGTACCTAATGGCGATTTAGCCGGAGGTGGGAACGTAGGACTAGGCCAGCGGTGCTAGGCTAGTCACTATCAAGACCATAGAGATCTTATAATATTATAGAGATCTCTATGATCAAGACCATCTATATTCTATAGGTTATTTTTTATCTCGGGTCTAGACGTCTTTGTGGAATTTGTGGTATGGATAGATACGGAGTACCTACTAGTGCAATGTCAGCGACGCCTGGGTAGGACTCAGGTGCAGCCGCCGTCATGGGACGGGGCCGGCCGCTACCCCGGGCCGGCCACGTCACATGCTTTCGCCTCGGACCGCTCGTATAGCGCTCGCCGTCTATCGGGGCGCTTCGTGGCTGGCAGCGTCCGAGGTAGGTGACTGCTCCTGTTATTTGGCTTGGGGGTAGCATAAGCATTCCCCCACAATGGGTAATACTTGTACAAATTTTAGTTGCGCGTCTATTCTTTAACATATCGCAGTCTGTTTTTATGTTTTAGCCCTGTGTTATTCTGAATAATAACGTCTTCTAAATCTTGTACATCTTTTACTACGGAGAGCCTGGAGTGTGAACGTATTGGACAGAGACGCTAAATCTCGCACGGTTCACCGTTTATATTTGGCTTAACCGGAATTAGCCTGATAACTGACACCATCCCGAGGGGACCGCTACCCACCGAGTGGTTCAAAAGGCGCAGCATTCCACTGGAACCAGAACCGATCGATTGCTGTGCACTGCACTGAGTGGCAGACGGTACGGCACACACTGTTATTAGAGTTGCAGGCGTGTCCTAGACATGAGCCTCGTTTAGCAACGACGGACGTAGTATGGTAGGAACCCACATTTCGTGTTATTCAACACTAGAAAAGGATGTTGTTGCATTATATTATCAGTGGTCACCTTTGACGTTTTCGCTAGTCGGCGGCAACTCTCGATGATTCACCGTATTTCAGAAATACTATTTCTAGACAGCACCGTTTCAGAATTTGAATTTGAAGCTGAGTATATAAACGTACCGTTTCATTCATTCGTGCGTAGCTGGGCATTGCCAGTGATATTCGGATGCATTGTAAGATATAATGTGAGTATAAATGTATCATAAACCCCGTCCTTGTTTCTCATGTAGGTGCGGATGAAAGCGAAACGACCGTGTCTGCGTCTGCACATTGTGCTGCTGGTCTGCTGGTATACGATATACAAGTTCGGAGGTTAACCGTCAACGAAACATTGCTTTTTTCCTATGAATAAAAACAGCTTACGATTTATGTTCCTGAGAGCTGTAACTTTATTTGAAACATCGAAAATTAAGATAATGTAGACTGTTGGCCGTTGGGTCACAGCCACCATTGCCAATACAAGAGGCAGCCATTGCTCGACTGACTACCTAACGGCACTACCACTAGTATTACAGTTTACACGGCACGTAACTGATGTCTATGTAAAAATAAACTATGTTAACTCAACAACCGGAATGCATTATGAACAAGACATAGTTATATGAAGTAACGAAATAAGTACCTATGTCGGACACATGATCATTAACCTGCCGTCGGGAATGTAGAACAATTGAGCAAATTAATAAAACGATGTAAATAGATATTTCGTACAGATCTACATAATCAAATCCAACAGACATTAACGATAGCTCGTAAGCCCAATCCTTATATAGCTTTCAACCGGAACACCTCCTGATGGGTCAACCGTCAACATAAGTATTGCGAGGCCACCAGAGATGAGCTCCGAGGACACCAGACCACGTTCTGCCTCCGAAGGTGCAGAACTGACCCCAGAGACCCCACACTGGTCCCGGCCGCCGACAGCGCCTGTTCAGTTGTTCGGCCGCCTGTGCAACGGTCTCAGAAGAGCGCGCCGTGACAGGCCCACTCGAATGGTGCGGGTCCGAGCGGCCGGCGACGGCAGCGGGGGCGGCATCCGCGCGCCCTCCGGCGGCTCAGCCGGCCCCGCGCCGCCGCCGCAGCCGTCGGCGCTCAGCCCCAGCGCCGTGTCGGCTCCATCGGGCTCCGGTGTGGCCGCCTCGGCGGGCTGCCGCGGCGCCGAGTCGCTGCCGCCGCCGGCCGGCCGGACGGCGCTGTGGTCCGCCGGGGCCCTCTCTGCGACCAGTCCGGGCCGGCTGGGGAAGCAGGCTGTCGATCCGCCGCCGCGGCCGCCGGGCGGCAGGGCGGCGCCCTCGGCCGCTGAGCGCGCAACGCTGCCGGCAGTGCCGAGTCGCGGCGCCGCAGCACACTCAGAGACGGCGCACGGCGGCACCGTGGCCGCTCTGGCTAGAAGGATCTGCTGCCGTGTGTCCGCGGCCACCGGGGACCTGTCCTCAGGCCCGGTGACGCTGGACGACATCGGACCATCACTGCCGGACCCGACGCCGCGCCCGTGGTGTGCCGCGCTGTTCCGGAGATCAGCTGGAGTCAGTGCGGCGGCCCGGTGCTGCCGGTGGGAGCCCGAGGAGCCCGTGTCGTCAGTCCCGGTGCCACAGTTGCCGCTCGCAGCGGGTGTCGGACCGCAGCCGGCCTCCGACGGTACGGCTGCCTCCACCGCTGGCACCTGGCCGCCGCTCCCAGCAAACGATCTTCCAGTGTCGGTGTCCAGGACATACGGTGCATCGTTGGTGTGTTCAGCATCTTCAGTATCACCTGAAAGCACGTAATATGCATTCACTCGGCACTGACAGATATATGCAACGCACAGCTGACTTCAAAATGATGTTCCACTCCTCAGAAGCTATCAATTATTTACTGGAACGCTAAGTTGAGGCCGTTTATCGCGCAATCTATAAGCGTGTCAATGGGAAGTGAGCGTTGGGTCATAGCATATTGGCCGTTTTTACGACGGCCATCTGGTACACATTTGGTGCAGATTAGGTGCAGATTTGTTCAAATTAGGTTCAGCGTGTCTCTTAGTAGCTATCAGATAGGGTTGCACTAATTGTTTATATGCCTTTGTCATATTATCAGAGAGTATCATCGATTAAAACACTGAAATAAATTCATAAAATGAAGATATTTGCTGTAAAGGAGATTAGGTGCAGATTTGGTCAAATTAGGTGCATTCGCCGGATAGCCCGTCGTGAAAACGGATATTGTGTCGCTTAGCCCGTGTGATGCGGCACAGCCTGCCACTCAAGGCAGCTGATTGCCTGTGAAAAGTGGAACACCAAGTTCTGTATTCAACTGTACATACGTAGGGGAAACCCAGGAGGTATGGGCCCCCTGGAGGTATGGGCCATCGCAGTTTTGAAGAAGTGTTGCGTATTTTTACACATTTGGCCGCGTAAACTGGTAGCAGCCATTCCGTTATACAACCCACGTGATTTCCGAAATCTTCCTCGGTCTTCTTTGGCAATGAGCGATAATAAAGTGTTTTGCCCTCTTCGAGTAAATTACGGTACATACAGAAAATTCGTGATAAATTTGAACCAGGCTCGTTTTATTATGTCAGACCATCGCTGACATAAAGTTTAAAGCATGCAAATTTAGACTGGGTATAGACAATTTGAAGCTTTTTGGCAAGATTATGAGCTGAGATGCTACACACATTCTGGCGTCCTAACCGTGAGGTTCGGGCCACCGACCCCCGTTGATCCTAAATCAATGAAATGATGCTTTCATTAAATGTCCTCTTCAATAAGTTTCATTTTTGTCACGCAAGGTCGAAAATTTAACTACTAATTTCATTCGAACAGAAAAATATTATTAATCTTATTTCGTGGAGCATGATTGAATTTACCCAAAGAGAAAGACATACATATGTGCCGTAGTGACCTCCATGAAGTAAGCTGTTGGCCGCTCATGCGGTTCCTGGGCTCTAAGAGAGATCAAGGTATACCAGCTACGAGTATTGTTCTCATTGTCGAGAAAAGAATATGAAACATGGCACCGGTCCATACCTCACGGGCCGTGGCCCATACCTCCCGCCTCCCATGTCCGTGAAGTTAGCGTCACCGCCTCCCGGTGTATTTTGGTGGATCAAAAAAGTGCATGATTTATTGAAAGTTATCTCGAGACAAAATAGTTGGTCCCAGATGCCTAATATCAGGCACACTTAATAGGCGAAAGGAAATTTCACGGACGCAGAGTGAAAAACCGGGTCTAGCCACTGCCCACTGGAAGAAAATTGTCTTTTTACAAAACCGGCCCATACCTCCCGGGTCTCCCCTACTATCCGGCTAGTCGACTGTCAATAACCACTACCGGTTCCACGGCAGGCACACACGGCACTTCACAAAGTATTCCCGTCTCCGCGGTGCGGTCACAGTCCCGTAACTGACCCGAGGGCAACGTCCGGGACTGAGGGGCGGCTGGTGAGACGGTCGGCCAGCCGCGCCGCGCCCGACGAGCGTCCTGCCTGTCTGCCAGCCAGCCGCCATCTGCAACACCATCCGACCAAATCAGACCAGACCGGATCAGAGCACACGTCACCACCCTACACTCAACAGTCAGACCAGACCAGACCAGTTGGCAGTTAATCAAGTATTGGGTATTTACTTCCAATTTTTCTGAGCATACTATTTGTAGGCGTTATTTGTATCTGAACATGTTGCTCGCCTGTCTATTGAAAGAACGTAACTGTTATTTGTGATAGACAAATTCACAGTTTCGTTGATAGAAAGCAATGTTCATTACATAATGAGCATGCAGGGTGGTAGGAATTGTTCAAGTTTTTTTTGCACATATGAGAGGCTTGCCGGTAAAATGTGTACACAAAAATGTGTAGCTAAACCTGTCCATATCGCTGGACTAATGCGGTGGGTTTAGTAGCTAGCATTATGTGACGAAATTGCGATGCAGCGAGCAGCTCACTACAACTATAGAACACAGAAATAGACCAATAGTCACACTGATCTATAACAATCTATTAACGAAATTAGCGTAAGAGTGATAAATGAGCAATGTGAAAATTGTGAAATGAGTTTAGACCGATACACCACATGTCTCGCCGTCCACCCACCAAAGTCCACTTACCTCCAGCGGGGCCGAGACCGAGCGAGGGCCGGAACGGCTGGGTGGCGCACACGGGCAGGCCCTCCTCTGCTGCCAGCGGGGACGGCGGACCGGCGCCTCCCAGGAAAAGATCCTCGCTGCTGCGGCTGGCTGCCAGCCCCTCGGAGCTGACCTCCGAGCCGGGACTGTCGGGCATTGCGGCGGCGGGCCGGGCCGGAGAGCGGCCGCCACTCGCCACTGAACCGCTGCCCAGACTGAGCGACGGGCTCGGCGGCTCCCGGTCGGCAGGGTCACCGGCCGGACTGCCCTGACCGCAGGCCGGGGAGTCTGTGTTTGATCCCGGGCTGCTGTGTCCCGCGTCGGTCCCCGGGTTGGCACTGACGTTGACCGGTATGGTGCACTTTGTTTCGTCCAGCGGTTGATCCGAACAGAGGGCTGCTGGTTGGACTGCAGCCGCCGGGGCAGGGTCAGTGGCGACACAGGGTCTGAACGGAGAGAGGTCCAGGGGAGCAGTCGCCTCAGCGACGGCGGGCGACTCGTCATCCCGAGCGGAGCCGGCCAACACGCACCGGGAGGCCGCGCTCGAGTCTCGTGGCACCGAAGCGCCTCCAGACGGACGGGACAGCGAGTCGGCCGGCACCGGAGGGACAATATCCGCTCGGTCCGACTCCGTATCACTCGGGGAGCAGCTGTAGTCACTCTCACTCTCGCCGGAGAAAAGGTCACCGGCGCACTCGTCTGTCACATACCCACATGACTGATCCGACTCTGTACGCGTTTCACGCACACCATCCGATTCGTCGCTGCTCTGAGCTTCCTCGCGATGGCTCGTTCTACCCTGGTCTCCGGTGATTGCGTTTCCCTGAAAGTCTGCAACGGGAACGGCAGGAGTAGGGGCAGCGGCTGGGGCAGGCGGGTCCGACGAGCTGGCAGCGGCCAGAGCAGGCGGGTCCGACGAGCTGTCTGCCGTCAGCGACAGGAGCCTGGCATCGTTGAGCACATCGCTGTCCGTCTCCGAGCGTGACTGGTCCGTGTTAAACTCAGACACAGCGGCCACTGACGGAGACGGCTCTTCCTCCTCCAGTACCGGGGACAGACCGCAGGTGCCGAGCCCATCCTCCAGCGCCGCCGGCGGCGTCAGCGGGTCCCGCTGGGTGCTCTGCGCCGGCCCGGACCGCTCGCCAGTCGGCCGGGAGACGGTGACTGACGCCGACACCGCGGAGCCCGCGCTGGGGCCGAGGTCGGCAACGATCTCCACCTCCTGCGACGCGGTCGGCGTGGCGTGTGCCGCCGCGCCGCGGTCGGACACCGTGTCCAGCCCGCTCGCCAGCAGCAGCTGCAGCCGCTGCTCGTGGCACAGCGGCGGGATGGGCGACCGGGGCGACGGCTCCTCCGACTCGGTGGGCGGAAATTGCTGCAAACAAACACAGGGCTCCTGGACCTCAAGACTAGCTTAACGTTCATAACGTATCCGGTATCGGTAATAAATGAATGATATATTAATTGAATCGGCATAATAATTTCAATAATGGTAGGTATTCTACTGCTTCATTCATTAGTACCGGCCCCGACGATCATAATGCTGGCCTGCGAAATGGTTCGATTTCCGAGCTTGCATTTCTCCACTAAAATGCACAATCCAACCCGGCCGGTACACTGATGAAAAAAAAAAATTATGTTGTGACTTGTGGTCTGTCGAGCAGCATGATTATGTGATTATAATGAAATGAACCAATTTAAGCATGGAGTTGGCAAATACGACGCACAAACAATTTTTCATTACCGTCGGCAATTTATAATAAGACAATAAGCGTATCGTGCTGAGCTTCTAACAAAAACATGTTCCCTAAGAATAGTACTCTCAAGTCTGTTATAATATTCTGAGATCGACGCATACGGTGAACGACTTACCTCTCCAGCGTATGGTATCTCGCCGCTGATCGTATGTGCGCCGCCGACGCCCAGCAGTGGTTCACCCGTGGCGTCGGCGGTGTCCCGTCCCTGCCGTGAGGGCGGGGAGCCCTCCAGGCCGTCCACCAGTCGGCCGATGTAGCCGCTCAGTCCGGACTGGTCCGACCGATGGGTCGCACTGTCCGACCCCGACTCGTCGCGCGACAGAGCTCTCTCCTCGCGGCCCAAAAGGCTCTGCTGAGTCTCCGCCGAACTAGGCGGGATGACCGACGTTGGCTCGTCAGCACCGGTCTCCGAAAACCGAGCATCCTCTATACGTGGGCTTGACGGACGAATGCTCAGTATTGGAGTGGATACGTTTGGCACGATAGTACATACGTTTAGCTCGATTTCGGCGCGACTTGACGGACCCATCTCTTCTGCTGTCTGGCACGACAGTTGAGTGTCCGCCCCCGCCAGACTCGCGGCCTCAGACTCGGTTCGTCCACTGAACACACGGGTCAGGAAGTCGGGCCTGCCGTTCGGGGAGCACGGCACTGTGTCTGCCTGGCTGTAGCGGATCTGCGAGCCGTCGTACCGTCCGTCTGCGCTGCCGGACTCGGACGGACCCGGGGACCGCGGCTCGCCCGGTGACCAGCCCTGCTCGGCGTGACTGCGGCGCAGGCCCGGCTCGCGGCTGGAACACTGGGCTGCCAGTGCGGCGGAAACCACCTCCGCCAGGTGACTGACGGTCCGCGGAGACACAGGGTCGTCTCTGCCGCTCTCCGGAGACGGACTCGGATTTCGCGAGCCGATGGGTGAGTCGGTGCGGTCCGGTGGAGACGGTTCAGGAATGTTCGCACACATGGCCGCAGGGGAATCGTTTAGAAATGATTCACAGCCGTTCAGGCATTGGACACTTGCTGGATGTGGTGATGGTGACTGGTAGGGTGAGTCTTGCAACAGATGATTCGTTGTATGCGACGAAGATTTGTTAAATCCATTAGCACCGGCAGGTTGTGACGCGGGGAAGATTCTCAGGTCGGAAATACGCGTCTTTGCCATCTGTTGGGACAGGAACATCGCAAAGTCATGTTCTGTGCCGCTGTCGGGAGCTTCATTTACTCGATCTATCCATAAATCGAGACCCGTACTTTTCCCAGCGATATTCAGCTGAGATTGGCGATATTTCTGACTGGAAGAAGACGACACCTCTGTATCATCAATGAGCTGCTTATCACCCGGATGTAAGTCGCCAGGAGCGATAACACACGCTGCCGCGCAAGCCTCAGCCTTTTCTGGCCCAGCCTCAAAACACTTTGCGTCCATTTGCAACGGCCATCTTTTCTCGTCGACACTCTCTGTTTGAATTGGGTTGCCTTCATTATCGGCACTACATTTCTGACCGGTGCTACGTTCCTCACCTGAGTCCCATTCCAGACCGGTGTTCCGTTCCTGAGACTGAGCAGTGCTTTCATCCTGAACAGCATTCTCTCCCTGATCCGTGCCTTTCGCGTCAGTGCCCTCTTCCTGATCGGCATCCCCATTCTGGTCGATGCTCCCTTCCTCATCAGCGTTTTCTTCCGTCACACGCGGGATCGTGCGGAGCCGCTTCCTGGGTCGCTCCAGGCAGAGTGCCTCCAGACTGAGAGCGACATCCACACTGTCGTCCCACTCCCACGGACACTGGTACCGTTTGGCCGGACTCCGGTCCACATCGTCGGCGCCGTTGCCGACGACACTGGTAACCGGCTGACTCAAAAAACGCGTCGCCCGAGCCGTGCACACTGGCACTTCTCGGCAGATTTCGTCGGGAAAAAGAGACCGGACAGGCGTTATAGTATGCCACTTATAATCGGTTTGAATTAAAGGCATTTCTGATGCTACACAGCAGGTATTGGTGACATCGTTAGTGGTGACGTAGCCCGCAGGAGGCGATGGTAGTTTGTCCGTGAGGTCGGCCCCTCTCAACATTTCGGTTGCGTTTACTTCGGTGTGCTCGTTGGCAGGGTCACAGGTCAACGCAGCTTGAGAAGGGCATGTACAGTGGGCACCTCACAGTCCTGAATTGTCACCCTCACTCACACATTTCTGGACCTGGTAACCAGGCTGGGCCATGCCTGGCTGAGTTGCATCTGCCTCACCGACAGTCTGAAAGTGAAGGGAATAATAGAAACGGTTAACTATGCTGAGATAGCAATGCCAAAGTTAACCCGGCAGTTGCTGGGGTATTTCGCCACCCACCGTTTGCTGGGGGGGGGGGGGGGCGTTAAACGCCCCCAGCCGATAACTCGAGAACCAATAGGCGCAGCGAAACGCACGAGGCGGCAAACGAAAGAACGCGACGAGACGCTTCAGATGAGTACTTTAAAGTTGAATTTTGAGGTCACAGGTCGGGTCAATGTCAGGTCAAACACCTGAAATCGGGCTTTCAGTAGCATGGACTTCAGGACTTCGCAATTAGCGCCTCTCGTCATAAACTCTGTCAAAACGGTGCACAATCCATCATATAAGGCCTACAAGAGTGTCAGCCCCATGTAGGGGTCAGTCAAGCGTAGGTCAGGGTCAAGGTCAGGTCAACCGGGTAGGCACATATCCCCGAAAATCAAAACTGATATTCGCAGCCTGTGACACATGCTTTATGGGTAATTTGGGGCGTAGAACACGATGGTGACATTCATTTTATCATATGTGTACGTGTTTGGCTCAAAAAGTTCAATTTAAGAAATGTATGTATCATGGTCGTGAAGTAGTCACGAGAAATTGCCAAGATTCAGATCAAGATTTTGGCAAATGCGAAACGATAATCAATAATCGAAGATAGCCATTTGATTGTTCATGGTATTGGCAGTCTAATGCCGTTTACGGCATGTCTGTATGTCTATTCTGTGATTTTATATGATTTTTTGAACATATGCCGTTTTTGGTCGAAAACTCAGAAATCATGACGTCACTAAAACCTCGATATCTCAAAATTTTTCCGACCGATTTTTTTTTTAATTTTGTCACAATAGACTTCAATCAATTCCCTACAGGTACCCAAAATTTGGCGCGCCTTTATGCTATGGCCCGGCGAAAAAAGTGGGGGCGTTTAACGCCCCCCCCCCCAGCAACTCGCGGGTTAAATCCACGCAAGTTGAAGTTGCAAACAAGGTGCTTTTCGAATCGAAACAGTTTCCCGCGCCCCACATAGGAAGTAGATATGATATACCCAGGGCGCTGAAGGATATACCCATGACTGCCTTGGGAAGAAGGAACACAAACACACCGACAAAAAAAATCAACAAGCCCATGTCCGAGACCGCCACTTCATTCATAACGACATGCGAATGTTCAGCCACGGTATATGCAAGACTGCTACAGTTTAAAGGGACCATCCCACCTTCAAAAAAGTTAATAGGCCTGGTCGGAATCGGCTGACAGAACTTTGTCAGCCGAGAATAAGCCCCGCCCACACCGCGCTGCTGATGGGCTTGTTCATAATCGGCTGACAGGAAACGTCAGCCAAAGATGGCGCTCGACAGATAGGGTTGAGACTTGAGGAGTGGTAGCATTTTCGCGCTTTTTTCAACGACTATCTTCCGTTACATTATATTTCTGAGATTTATTTGCCGAGGCTTTAGAAACAAATTACAGGATTGATAATTGAGGCGGTGCTGGCATTTCGATTTGTATGTACTGTTTTCAGCCTGACTCGCACATTGCGCCATGAAAAAGAAATAATTGCTATCTTTCGTGAAAAATATTAAATACAAAATACGTCAAAAACATCGTATATAAAAACTAACCACCTGCACTATAAAGCAGCGCTTTGACTTACATGCGCCACTTTCGAGCCACTTTGAATTTCGGCTGACGTGCTGCTATGTAACGGAAGTTGGCACAGATTCAGCACAGATTCAGCACAGCACAGATTCGGTAGGGGGAAAAAAGGCCCCGGTAGAGGGAAACCTTTATGACCCGTTTTCCCCTAGAAATGACGTCACAAAGAGGTAAAAATGGGTATCAATCGAAAGCTCTCGTTTACCCAGACACAGTCCTGCAGGAAAATTCCACTTTTTCCCCATAGGAAAGTTTTTACGGGAAAATCAAAATTTTGGGTCAATGGGGGGTCCCCCCCGATTTCGTTCAAAATCGGCACACAGGTGCCCCACCACCAGCCGAGAAACTTTCCCCAAAACGGTCCCCGTTGCATTGACGTTTAAGGCCCTTAAAGCCCCGTAAACTCGTAAAAAATCCGTAAATTCGCCCTTGTACGGCCAAAAACGGGGCGCTAAAGTAAAAATGGGTATCAATCGAAAGCTCTCGTTTACCCAGACACAGTCCTGCAGGAAAATTCCACTTTTTCCCCATAGGAAAGTTTTTACGGGAAAATCAAAATTTCGGGTCAATGGGGGGTCCCCCCCGATTTCGTTCAAAATCGGCACACAGGTGCCCCACCACCAGCCGAGAAACTTTCCCCAAAACGGTCCCCGTTGCATTGACGTTTAAGGCCCTTAAAGCCCCGTAAACTCGTAAAAAATCCGTAAATTCGCCCTTGTACGGCCAAAAACGGGGCGCTAGGGTAAAAATGGGTATCAATCGAAAGCTCTCGTTTACCCAGACACAGTCCTGCAGGAAAATTCCACTTTTTCCCCATAGGAAAGTTTTTACGGGAAAATCAAAATTTCGGGTCAATGGGGGGTCCCCCCCGATTTCGTTCAAAATCGGCACACAGGTGCCCCACCACCAGCCGAGAAACTTTCCCCAAAACGGTCCCCGTTGCATTGACGTTTAAGGCCCGTAAAGCCCCCTAGACTCGTAAAATATCCGTAAAATCGCCTTTGTACGGACAAAAAAGTGGTGCTATGGTAAAAATGGGTATCAATCGAAAGCTCTCGTTTACCCAGACACAGTCCTGCAGGAAAATTCCACTTTTTCCCCATAGGAAAGTTTTTACGGGAAAATCAAAATTTTGGGTCAATGGGGGGTCCCCCCGATTTCGTTCAAAATCGGCACACAGGTGCCCCACCACCAGCCGAGAAACTTTCCCCAAAACGGTCCCCGTTGCATTGACGTTTAAGGCCCTTAAAGCCCCGTAAACTCGTAAAAAATCCGTAAATTCGCCCTTGTACGGCCAAAAACGGGGCGCTAGGGTAAAAATGGGTATCAATCGAAAGCTCTCGTTTACCCAGTCATAGTCCTGCAGGAAAATTCCACTTTTTCCCCATAGGAAAGTTTTTACGGGAAAATCAAAATTTCGGGTCAATGGGGGGTCCCCCCCGATTTCGTTCAAAATCGGCACACAGGTGCCCCACCACCAGCCGAGAAACTTTCCCCAAAACAGTCCCCGTTGCATTGACGTTTAAGGCCCGTAAAGCCCCCTAGACTCGTAAAATATCCGTAAAATCGCCTTTGTACGGACAAAAAAGTGGTGCTATGGTAAAAATGGGTATCAATCGAAAGCTCTCGTTTACCCAGACACAGTCCTGCAGGAAAATTCCACTTTTTTCCCATAGGAAAGTTTTTACGGGAAAATCAAAATTTTGGGTCAATGGGGGGTCCCCCCGATTTCGTTCAAAATCGGCACACAGGTGCCCCACCACCAGCCGAGAAACTTTCCCCAAAACGGTCCCCGTTGCATTGACGTTTAAGGCCCTTAAAGCCCCGTAAACTCGTAAAAAATCCGTAAATTCGCCCTTGTACGGCCAAAAACGGGGCGCTAGGGTAAAAATGGGTATCAATCGAAAGCTCTCGTTTACCCAGACACAGTCCTGCAGGAAAATTCCACTTTTTCCCCATAGGAAAGTTTTTACGGGAAAATCAAAATTTCGGGTCAATGGGGGGTCCCCCCGATTTCGTTCAAAATCAGCACACAGGTGCCCCACCACCAGCCGAGAAACTTTCCCCAAAACGGTCCCCGTTGCATTGACGTTTAAGGCCCGTAAAGCCCCCTAGACTCGTAAAATATCCGTAAAATCGCCTTTGTACGGACAAAAAAGTGGTGCTATGGTAAAAATGGGTATCAATCGAAAGCTCTCGTTTACCCAGACACAGTCCTGCAGGAAAATTCCATTTTTTTCCCATAGGAAAGTTTTTACGGGAAAATCAAAATTTTGGGTCAATGGGGGGTCCCCCCGATTTCGTTCAAAATCGGCACACAGGTGCCCCACCACCAGCCGAGAAACTTTCCCCAAAACGGTCCCCGTTGCATTGACGTTTAAGGCCCTTAAAGCCCCGTAAACTCGTAAAAAATCCGTAAATTCGCCCTTGTACGGCCAAAAACGGGGCGCTAGGGTAAAAATGGGTATCAATCGAAAGCTCTCGTTTACCCAGACACAGTCCTGCAGGAAAATTTCACTTTTTCCCCATAGGAAAGTTTTTATTTTCCCGTAAAAACTTTCCTATGGGGAAAAAGTGAAATTTTCCTGCAGGACTGTGTCTGGGTAAACGAGAGCTTTCGATTGATACCCATTTTTACCATAGCACCACTTTTTTGTCCGTACAAAGGCGATTTTACGGATATTTTACGAGTCTAGGGGGCTTTACGGGCCTTAAACGTCAATGCAACGGGGACCGTTTTGGGGAAAGTTTCTCGGCTGGTGGTGGGGCACCTGTGTGCCGATTTAAAACGAAATCGGGGGGGACCCCCCATTGACCCGAAATTTTGATTTTCCCTTAAAAACTTTGCTATGGGGAAAAAGTGGAATTTTCCTGCAGGACTGTGTCTGGGTAAACGAGAGCTTTCGATTGATACCCATTTTTACCCTAGCGCCCCGTTTTTGGCCGTACAAGGGCGAATTTACGGATTTTTTACGAGTTTACGGGGCTTTAAGGGCCTTAAACGTCAATGCAACGGGGACCGTTTTGGGGAAAATTTCTCGGCTGGTGGTGGGGCACCTGTGTGCCGATTTTGAACGAAATCGGGGGGGACCCCCCATTGACCCGAAATTTTGATTTTCCCGTAAAAACTTTCCTATGGGGAAAAAGTGGAATTTTCCTGCAAGACTGTGTCTGGGTAAACAAGAGCTTTCGATTGATACCCATTTTTACCCTAGCGCCCCGTTTTTGGCCGTACAAGGGCGAATTTACGGATTTTTTACGAGTTTACGGGGCTTTAAGGGCCTTAAACGTCAATGCAACGGGGACCGTTTT